ACAGCCACTACAAAAGTGGTGACTGAAGAAGATGGAGATCTCTCCTGGCTGACCCTATCTGTATATTAAAAACACGGGGGAAGAAAGAGTGCTGTGTTTACTGTAAAAGTGAAGTAGCCTTAGGCAGAATTCTCACTCTTATGAATGTCATTTGAAAGTGATGCAGGACACAGGACAGAGCTTTACTGGAGAGAATTTGAGCCATTAAATGTCTCCCACCCCCTAAAACAGTGTGCCACTCAAAAGACTTGCTGCCTCCAGGTTCCTGTAAAGATGTGCTTTGTGCGGAGTTGTCTGCCCTGTGAACAGGACAGGCTGTCAGCTTGGGAGTGGCTACTCCCCTGCTTGCCCGTTGGGAAGATCTCCCTGGCTGAGGCAGAGCTGACAGGCTGAGGAAGAGCTTATTAGGGACTGGATAGGTGGTGGCCATGGAGAGGGAGGATAGCAGGAGTGATCAGGGCAGGGTCACAGGCACTTCTCCAGCTGCAGTGACTTCATGAGTGGCAGCTGCTTTTGCTGCTTGCTTCCCAGGGTGTGTGCGCGAGCGTGTGTGAGTGTGAGTATATGTGTGTTGAGGGAGGGTGTCCCTGGAGCTCCCCGTTCTCCCCTAGTCTCCTGGATGACATGTTTCCACGCATGTGGAGCACCTCTCCTGTCCCAGCCACTGGCCCCCTCTGTCCCTGGCATTCCTGTCAGATGATTTAGAGAGAACGGAGTCTCCCTTCCTCGTCTCCATTCTCTACCCAGCCCTCCTCACCTCTCTTCTTCTCTCTCCTTGTTTCCTGCACAGAATCTGCCATGCCGCTACACCCGTGGCTTCTCACACCTGAATGTACTAGAAGAGCTTGCAGGCTCACAAACCCACAGGTCCCTGGGTGTCCTTCTTCCCCCGTTTCTGACCCAGTATGGTTCTGGAAAGTCCCCAGGTAGCTTTGCTACTTATGCACCAATTCCTCTCTGAGAGCTACAGGTGGGCAGGACAGTCCTGGGACCCACAGTCTTGGCCACTCACCTTTCTGACTTCACCCACGCGCCTGACCGCTGGCTCTTCCCTGACCAGCTCACAGAGAAGTTGGCCCCGTTGCCTGCTCTGGGTGCCCTTTCTCTTTGGATTTTCACGTGTTGGACACTTGCTCGTGTGTTTCCGGAGCCCACTCAGGGATCACAGCTCTTTGCAAGGTTCTCTCTCTTTCATCACAGTCAGAATTAATGAACACTCTTTTAAGAGATTAATTGGTTTTTTATTCAATCACCCATTTATTAATGTGATTAGCAATGATTGGGTCATAGTTCGTTTGCCCAGCCAACTGCAAAAAGAGAGGCCCTTTAAAAAATGACCCTTGGTATATGCCAGCTGTGGTTGTGTTTAAGGAGAATTGTTTACTGATGGAGTAAGCACATTTTGTGTGAGCAGGACATGAATAAAGCCAATCTAAAGGATGGGTAGGGAGTCTGGGGAAGCAGCTGCTATTCTCTGCCACTGAGCCCCGTGTTGTGTCGTCCCCCCCCCGCCACCTTCACTCTCCATCCTCCATGTAGCCCTGTTCTCGTAGCTCGGCAGCCTTTCCTTTCCTGGACTGACAGACTCTCCTAGCTTTGGTGCAAAGCCTGGGGTGGAAACTTTCCAGCTGCAGCAAGAAAGGGCATTCTGTGAATGATGGGAGCAGCTGGAATGCCAGCTGCTGCTGTGTGGGTGTGCTACACGGCCAGCCGTTGCCATCAGGCCAGCTATCACCATCCAGCCTCCCGACCCGACCCTCCTGCTTCCCTGCTGATTGACAGGGGGGTTAACTAAGCCTCACTTCTGAATGTCTTTACTTTCGCCTCTACATTCGTTGGCTTTCCAAGTTCATTTGCTGAGCAGCCAGGCCAGGCACTTCTCTGGTTGAAGGCAAGTTTGATTGTCCTAAGGTTCTTATTCAAATGGAGACTGTGACTTAATGGACCTGAGTCTGTTTCTGAGAAACTCCCACCCGCTTGATCTCATGATGCTGGTCCACAGCACTTAGAATGTTTTGATTATAATTATTTGGTGTATATGGTTGTTTTGTTGCCACGTATGACTATGTACCATGTGTGTGCCAGAAGAGGGTGTTGGATCTCTTAGACCTGGAGTTATAGCAGTTGTGAGCCTCCTTGTGGGTTCTAGGGATTGAACCCAGGCCTTCTAGAAGAGCAGTCAGTCCTCTTAACCACTGAACCATCTCTCCAGACATATGATTTATTTTATCTCAGTGTGTGTGTCTATCTCTGTGTGGGCGTGGGTAGAGAAAGCAGGTGTGTGACATAGCACACCCGTGGAGGTTGGACAGCTGATGGGGGCCAGTTCTTTCCACCCTTGGGTTTGAACTCAGGTTGCCAGGCTTGGCAGCAGGTGCCCTTATCCTCTGAGCAACTTGATCGGCCCTATGTACAGCACTTCTAAAAGCTCAGTTGCCATTTGTATCAGTGAGCTTTGATCTTGGGACCAGAAATAGAAACCAGAAGGGAATAAGAAGAGCTAAAAATTTCCCTGGTGTTCTGGGTACACCCAGTGTGGAACTAAACTCTGTAGCTACTGCATTTAATCTGCAGGCCGCTCTGGTGAATTAGCTGCACACTTCCGGTCCTCTCATTTGCACATGAAAACACTGGTCCTTGAAAAAGCCCAGGCTGTCCTAACTGGAGAGAGATGAGGCTGGCAGACGCACCTTGCCCTGGGCAATGCTGAGACAGGCTTGTGAATGCTTCCTAATTAGCTGTGGAAACTCCTAGCTCCTCCAGGCCTCAGGTCATGTTCCCGTACCCCTGAGATATGGGAGGAAATACAGAACTTAACAGTAAGAGCTAAGCCTCTGCCCATATGTCAGACATTTACCAGATTTCAAAAGTGCCCCTCTTTTAAGCTCCCCAATACTTCATAATATTTTGACATGCGATGGCAAAAAAAGAAAAATTGGAAATGCTTTGAAATATTCCTCTTCTTTGGCTTCTGGTTTTCTGACCATGTGACTGAACTAAAGTTGAGTCATAGGATCCCAGTTTAACATATGCGGTTACTATAGCAATTGAGGTTTCCTTAGTAACAGTTGCAAAAATAATCTGGCCCCAATTAATAATACATTTTAAAGCCCTTTCTACTCCACACAGAACAACCCAGTTCATTTGGCCACACACCAGTTAATTCAGGTGGTGTTGTCTGCACTGATTGAGATACTATTTGCATGTGGTGAATTGGGCCCGTAAGGGATGAAAGGGAACAGGTTGTTTCAGGCTTCACAGGAGTCCACTCCACCAGCAAGCTAATGCCAGCCCAGTCTCCAGGATTCCCAGTGTACCCCGAAGGACTCTGTTTGAAGGAAGGAGACGTGGAAGACTAGAGAAAATGCTTTAACTAGAGCGTGGGCCATGGCCTGCCTTGATGGTTCTCCATGGCTCAAGAATCTGTGTGTGAATTCGAAGTCCTTCACGAGGAGAAAGCCCACCTCAGCAACACGAGACAGATCCTCAGGATGCTTTTGTAGTAACCCTGAACGTTTGTCTGTGTGTGTTACCCGACGCACAGAGGAGCAGTCCGTGGCTGTCAAAGCTCCTCTTCTTCACGCGTTGAAGCCTCTCATGTAACAGGCCAGCTGGCTGGCCTGAATCCCAGGGTTACAACCGGGGGCCCACTCCCACACCTGAACGTTTCTGTGCATCCTAACTGCTTGACTCCAGCCTTGAGGAAACGGGCTGCCCAGCCTGGCCTGCAGGTGGGCCTGGCCAGTCGGCAGAGGCCCTAGCTGTTTCCTTGCTGTATGGCCTGTACCAGACCCTGTTTTTCTGAGCGGGCAAAGTGGTCCAGAACCGAGGGCGAAGAGAGGCTTGGGGTGGACCCCTGCTTTCACTATCAGTTCACTGAGAGGATTGCCTTCTCCTCTCCTCTCCTCTCCTCTCTTCTTTTCGTTGTATTTGTTTGTTTTTAGTAGGAAGAAGTAGGCTGGTAGGGTAAGATTCTCCAATTAGCACCCTAAGATATATTTTACTAGAGTTTGGCTTCTTGGCACCTTAAAAGGGAACATCGTCTCTGTTATTGAGTAGGGATATCTGGAGTTGGCCACCCCTATTGCTATTATCTGGAGTTAGCCAGATAACCCCTATTGCTTCTGGACTTTGATAGTAAGGGAAGCGAGGCTGGTGCTAACTCCGCTCTGTCCATTGCTGTCCTGTGAACTAACCTCCCATAACTAGCCACATCTCCAGTATCCTAGCAAACACTGGGGGAGGGCTTTTTGCTAGGCTAGACACTGCTAGGCTTTGGGGTAGAGAAATGAGGAATTCCACCAGCAGTTAGCACCTTGAGGCTGGAACTGTCCCACTCTCAAGGTGTACTCAGCTCTTTGCAGCCTTAGTGGAGCAGTGGGTGATGGAAATATCAGCTGGCTGAATAGAACAGCTTGATCTCTGTTCCTGGGAGCTTGATCTAAGGGAGAGGAGACGGAGGTTGAGGGGGCAACAGCGTGGGTATCAGAGGGCAGCAAGAGAGGAGCGACCTTGCCTGGTGGACAGCAGACAGAAAGGGACAAGAGACTGAGTGGGATTAAGAGTCTGGCAGGGAGGTGGCAGAAAAGACAGAACAATGGTGGCAGTGGCCAGAACTCAGAGAAAGCGTGGGGGTTGGGGGATCTGGTGGCTGAGTCTAGAAGATGAGTCAAGACAGTTAGACAGGGCCAACTTCTGGGGGGGGGGGCTTTGTGCTGGCCAGAATTTTATTCTTTAGAGTCTGTAGCCAGTTGGGAGCCATGAACCTTTTTAAGCAAGGTCAGGCTATGGGCAGATTGACGTCTTGGGGTGGGCAGTGGCGCGAGAAGAATGGACGGCACGGGAGGTGACAGGAGGCTGACGCGGGGTGAGGTTTTGAAGGATGCTCACGTATATTCCCTGTTGGACAGACCCAGTCTCCCAGCCTAGAAGTGAGCACAAAATGGGCCTCGTTGCCAGGACTGTGTCAGTCCTTCTAAGTTGCCTTCTTCCCTTCCCAGTGACAAAGCTTCAGGTGAGCAAGTCAAAGAGAACGCTCACCCTGGTGGAAAACCGGCCAATTCAGCTGAACTGCTCAGTTAAGTCCCAGACCAGCCAGAACTCCCACTTCGCAGTGCTGTGGTATGTCCACAAGCCCTCGGATGCAGACGGCAAGCTCATTCTCAAGACCACGCACAGCTCAGCCTTTGAGTATGGAACCTATGCCGAGGAGGAGGGCCTGCGAGGCCGGCTGCAGTTCGAGAGGCATGCTTCCGGGGGCCTGTTCAGCCTCACTGTGCAGAGAGCCGAGGTCAGCGACAGCGGTAGCTACTACTGCCACGTGGAGGAATGGCTGCTGAGCCCCAACTATGCCTGGTACAAGCTGGCCGAGGAGGTTTCGGGGCGCACAGAGGTCACCGTGAAGCAGCCAGGTAAGAATAGAGAGGGTGGCCATCATGGACCTATGGATTTCCTGTAGAGACCTCAGGGCCTGAGGAGCTCTCTGCCCCCACCGCCACCCCCACCCCCGGCACACACACACACACACACACACACACACACACACACACACACACACACACACACACTGAGGTCGCCCTGGGTACGTTTGCAGGTGCACAGACGGTCAGTTCTGGTGCCCTGCAGGCCTTGTACTGGATCTGCTATGGTCCTGCTCCTGATGCTGATGGAATTCAAGAGCATCCTCAACTCTCTCATAGGAGTTTCTTCAATGAGATACTGAGGCCAGCAAAGCCATGGGACCAGGGACAGGAGTCTGGATGCGGTCTGATACATTCTGGTTGCAAGGACACCATTTTCTTTCCTTCCCTGAGGATGTCCTGTGTTCTGGGATCTGTCTGATCACACATGTTCTGCCAACTGTTCCACTGGTGCATAAAGCAGAAAGTCCATCTCTGAGTGACTTTCTGTGGCTGTCACCATGGCCTGGGTTCTGACTGCCTGCCGGGTCACACTATGAACATCTAAATTACTCAAGTGGCACTCAGACTCACCATGTAATCCAGGCAGGTCTTGACCTTGAGATCTTGCTTCAGCCTCCCGAGTAGCTGTGGTCACAGCCTGTGCTGCAATGTGTCACTAGGGTGGGCCTTCCGAGAGCTGACTGACAGCTGCTGCCAGGCCCCGGGAGCTCTTACTTGTTCCGCCTCTGCCTTCCATCCAGCTTGTCTCCATCAGGATAGTGTTATGTTTGCCCCTCGGATCCCCACCTCCCAAGATCTCTTTTCTAGTCACCAATCTTTTTCCTTTCCTCCTTTGGTTTGATGTCAGGAAGGTCTTCTTGGGTCCTAAATATATTGAATGGGTTTGTCTGTCTAAGGCTACTGTTGACTAAGTGAGACAAACAAAAGGGCCCCAGGGATCTCCGTCAACAAGCACAGGGACACCTCTCCTATAGTGAATCTTAGTGCAGAAAACCCTCAGGATGCTGACCACAACAACTTTAGGTTTTCCAGTTGATTTTGTGGTTTGTGTCTTTATTTCATTTTTCTGTTCCTTGTCCCTGTCCCCTTTTTCCTGATGAGAAAGCATACATTACTGAACCTTTGCAGGCAGCGAGGAACCCACAATGGAAAGTATCGTAGCTCTTGCAACTAAGATATAGTATCAGCATTAAATCTTAGGTGTACTTTGGCCAACTGTTTTAAGATAGAATCATTTTGATTTTTAGCCTTTTATTTGCAACAGCAGTCTTCTATGTGGTAGAAAACACTTCAGACAACACTGAAGTATAGTGAGGGTGAGTGTGTCTGGCTCTCCTCTTTACAAGTCACTCGGGGATGCTGGTCCCAAGGCTCGTTTGTGTGTGTCTAGTCACGACTCTTAGCATCTTCTGGTACAGAGAGGTTCATTGAGTCCTTCGTGAAGCTGCAGGGACTCTGTTGGCAAGAGCCATGGTTCATGACAGTTCTCCCATGTAGGGAAGCCTTGTTTGTGGCTGTGTACACCTCTCAGCCCATCAAGCCATCCTTTCTATGAGTCACATTGTTCTCTCTCTGCCATGAAAACGAAGCCATTCGGAGGCCCATTGTCTGTGCATATTAAACTGGGTTTTCCTGGCCAGTTCCTTTATGGTTTTGGCTCTCTGCATAGCCCATCTATCATGCGGTCAGACTTAAACGTTTACTCCTAGCACAGGCCTGATGGTGTGGGCCTGTAATCCTAGGTTCTTGGACAGCCGAGGCAGGAGGATCCCAAGTTCAAGGCCTGTCAGGCTACAGATGTTCACAGCTGGCATGGGCAATGTAGTTAAACCTTGTCTCAAAACTCAATTTTCAAAGGGTTGGTGATTGTCATACTTAGTGTTCTATTTTTGTGAAGAGACACTATGACCAAGGTAACTTATAAAGGAAAGCATTTAATTGGGGACTTGTTTACAGTTTCAGAGGGTGAGTCCATGACCATCATGTCAGGGAAGCATGGCCGCAGGCAGACAGGCACGGTGCTGGAGCAGTCGCTGAAAGCTTACATCTGCCAAACATTCCAATATATAAGCCTGTGGGGGCCGTTTCCATTCAAACCACCGGAGTGTTATTTCGGTAGTATAGTATATGCTTAGCATGTGCAGGACCGTGGGTTCAACTTCAAGTTTACCCCTTCTGGGAGAGGGGCTGTCACTCGGACTTTGCCAGCCCCTTCTCTTGCTAGCTACCTCTTCAGTCAATCACACACTTTGGGGTCTATGCTGTTAGTCTTTTATTGCTCTTTTGTCCTCCCCGAAACATCTAGACCCCTGAGGGAGGGGTTCTGAACAAGACAGCTGTTGCTGAACATTGGACTCTCACATGACCACGGATTCAATGCATTTAGGGTGGCATGTTTGAGATACATGTATGAGATGCTCTCTGTGATCCGAGGTCACCTGTTCAACTACCCTCTCAAAGGTACTGTGCCCTGCTTGCAGTCATGTCTCTGTCTCTTTCTCCTGGTTCAGACAGCCGCCTGAAGCTCAGCCAAGCCCAGGGGAACCTGTCTATTCTGGAGACGCGGCAGATTCAGCTGGAGTGTGTGGTCCTGAACCGTACCAGCATGGCCTCCCAGCTCATGGTGGAATGGTTTGTATGGAAGCCCAACCACCCAGAGCGGGAAATAGTGGCTCACCTGAGCCGAGACGCTACCTTCCACTATGGTGAACAGGCCGCCAAGAACAACCTGAAGGGGCGTCTACACCTGGAGAGCCCGTCTCCTGGCGTGTACAGGCTCTTCATCCAGAATGTGGCGGTCCAGGACAGTGGGACCTACAGCTGCCGAGTAGAGGAGTGGCTGCCCAGCCCCAGTGGCATGTGGTACAGACGGGCTGAGGACACGGCTGGGCAGACAGTCGTCACAGTCGTGCGACCTGGTAAGGCCCCAGCCTTCCGTGTTTCCTTGTTAAGAGTATTCGGATGCTTGGATAGGCACTTACCTCATCACAGTGACCAAAGAAGCAATTTAAGGAAGGAAGGAAGGGTTGGCTTGACAGAGACAGCCCATCATGGTGGCAGGAGGATGAGGCAGCTGCTCACTTTGCATTCAGTCAGGAAGCAGAGAGGTGCGAACGTAGCTACCATTCTCCCTCTCCACCTTTGCTCAGCAGGACCCCAGCCTGGAGGGTGGTGCTTCCCATACTCGGGAGGTGGGGCTTCCCTTCTTGGCGATCCTCTCTGGAAATGCCCTCCCAGACATGCTCAAAGGTGTTTCTCCTAAGTGATTCCAAATTCAGTCAAGATAAAGGTTAACTATATGGTCCTGAATAAAATTAGTTTATTTAAGAAATTGTTTGCAGGGGCTGGAGAGATGGCTCTGCGGTTAACAGCACGGGTTGCTCTTCCAGAGGAACCAGATTCAGTTCCCAGCACCCACGTGGCAGCTCACAGCTGTCTGTAACTCCAGATCCAGGAGGAGCCAACACCCTCACACAAACAATGCACATAAAATGAAAATAAATAAATCCTTTTACTGAAAAGGAGGAAATTACTTGCAGTGAAGTATATAAACATTTATATTGTATATTTGTATTCTAAATTCTCTCTACTTGTTTTTCCTATGAATGGGAAATTACACATCAGCCTTTCTCCTCAGGTGATTGGATTTCTTAATTAGAACAAAAGCCAGCAGTTAATTATTCTAGGTCATAAGAATATTTTCCTGTTAAAACATCCATTCAGATCGGAGCAGGCGGTTAATATGACAGAAACCTTGAAACAGCAGCCGTGTGTGCAGAAGTTATGCTGGGGTTTTCAGTGGAAAAGAATAGATTCTTCAAGCAGAGAGCAGCAAGTACCGCCAGCCTCCACTCTCACTTCCAGTCATTTTATTGGCACCAATGACTTTTCCATGTGGCCTTTTGTTCCTCTTGTCTCTATTGCCATTTCTAAAGTGTGTAAACACATATAATTACTGGGTGTAATTATTGCTACATTTAACACATAATTAAGGCTAAGATGTGCAGAGTCCCCATGCCTCCTGCAGCATTATAGCACCACTGAACCTTATCAGAGCAAAGAGTCAACTGTCCCTTAAGGACATGGCGCGGAATTGAACTTGCAACATGTCAGTGCGACCGCCTAGCCTTGTATCTCCAGGGCATCTTGATGTTCACTCTCATGATTCTTGTACCACTGCAAGTTCTTCTCCTCTTGTCACATCTGATTTGAGCTGATGCTGGAGAGTCACAGCTGTGTTGTCTCAGGAGAGGAGCATTGGCTGACCTCACCTGCGTTTGTCCATGCTGGAGGAGAAATCCTCTCTGAGCTTCCTTTTTCTATGTACATAGTTTTGCTGCTGCCGCCGCCTGGAGGCTTGTGCTTATCCTTCTCTGGAGAGAATGGCAACTGAGACACTTCCCCCAACTCCCACCCATTTGGCAGATCACTGGGGAGGCCCCCTGTGGAGTGGTAGGAGACAGACATTTATTGAGAACCAGCTAGGTCCTGCCTGCTAGATTGATGTTTAGTCTTTGTGAAACCCCCAGTGGTAGATTTCTCTAACAAGGGCAAGGGAGCCCTAGGGAAATTTCAGCACAGCTGATGAGAGAAGATGGCATGGACACAAGTTTCCGTCCTGCCACATGTGTGGTCCCTAATGTACACTTCTAGATCCTCCTCCATCTTCCCCCCTTCCCACCCTTTCTCTCCCTTGTTTGTTCATGCATTTATTTAATTAATTTCCTTATGGGGGTGGTGAGACAAGGTCTCACTCTGTAGCCCTGGTTGTCCTGGAATTCTTAGACCAGGCTGACCTTGAACTTACAGAGATCTACCTGCCTTTGCCTCCCAAGTGCAGGGATTAAAGATATGTGCACCATGCCCTACAAGAAAAATTTGTAGATTTTATTTTCTGTGTATGAGTAGTGTGTGTGTGTGTGTGTGTGTGTGTGTGTGTGTACTACATGTATGCCTGGTACCTGCAGAGGTCAGCAGAAGGTATTAGATTCCTGGAACTGTAGTTAAGGATGGTTGTAGGCCACCATGTATCTACTGGAAATTGGGTCCCAGTCCTCTGCAAGAGTATCAAGTGTTCTTAACTACGGAGCCATCTCTCCAGCACCCCCTTGGCTTCTCCTGCAAACCCATGGCGTCTGACTTATTGATAAGAGTTCTGGGCAGCTTGAACTCAGGTCTGTGTGACAAGCCCTTTCACCCTCTGAGCCACCTTCCTGGCCTGTTTCGCTTGTTTTGGGATGTGAATCAGCCTTTTCTCCCCTCTCTGTTCCTTGTCCCTCCCCAGATGCTGCCCTGCAGGTGGACACAGTGGTCCCCAATGCCACAGTGTCTGAAAAGGCAGCCTTTCAACTGGACTGCAGCATTCTGTCTCGGTCAAGCCAGGACTCCCGCTTTGCTGTGGCCTGGTATTCCCTAAGGACTAAAGATGGAGGGAGAAGAGGCAGCCTTGGCATTGAAGAGCAGGTGGAGGAGGAGGTGGTATCGGAAGAGGAGGACAGTGAAGATGAAACAGAGAGGATGGTCCTGCTGAGCGTGGGTCCTGATGCTGTCTTTGGTCCCGAAGGCAGCCCTTGGGAGGGCAGGCTGCGTTTCCAGAGGCTCTCGCCCCTGTTGTACCGGCTCACGGTGCTTGAGGCAAGTCCCCATGACACAGGCAACTACTCCTGCCACGTGGAGGAGTGGCTGCCCAGCCCTCAGAAGGAATGGTACCGGCTCACAGAGGAGGAGTCGGCCCCCATCGGCATCCGGGTTCTGGACACAAGTGAGTTTCTCCAGTTATAGGAGAGGGGTGTCGCTGTTGTCCTTGCAGTGCCTAGGAAGTAAATTCAGAGCCTGATTGTGGCACTTTTCCTAACCGCGGTGGGCATTTACCAGTAGGGTTTGAGATGTGGTAGAATTGGACACACTCAGTTACCCACAGGGAAAAACAAAGGAACAGTCAAAAACAGGGCTAGGAATTAGTGATGAGATACTGTGTGACTTTCATGATCACCTGACCTCTACCTGAGTCTGTTTCAGTAAGATCTCGTTGTGCAAGTGTCTTGCTTGGTGTTTCTTTGTTACACATTAGAATACCAAGTCCTTTTGCAGTGGCTTAGCAAATGATTCACAGGCAGGTGCAAAGAAATAAAGCCTGCCAATCATGCCTTCTCTCATGTTTCTGGGCCACTTTTATTTTGGAGGCTGACTTAGGGGTGGTGTGGTAGGTTTTGCCTGGTCACTGGGACCAGCCTTGAAGGACAGAGCTGAGGACATTTGGAGGCATGTAATAGCAGCCTGTCACCTCAGGATGGCCCCGAACACAGTTTCCTTCCTGTGAGGGCCTTTCGCTCTGAGCAGAGGCTGGAGGAAACACTCTTTTGATTGCCCATCTGTCAAAAATGCAGAGTAGATGGGGCTGAACATTGTGTTTGCTCCAGTAGAATCAGCTTAAAATCCAGAAACCAAAGAAATCTCAAGTTTTCAACCCTAATGTTCTACCTGTCCTCTTAATTTGGGGGTCCAGCTGCGCAGAAATCTCTTTGCTGCTTCACCTCCTGTCAGCACATTGTTAAGTGAAACTGAAATTTTTACGGGTTGGAAGTCAGTAATTTGATAGAGATTTGCAAACCGTAAGTATAAGTGGGTGCTGACTTTCCGTAATAATTCTCATGGTGTGCAAGCGCACGATGGAAGAGGCCTGAAGAGTGTGGACCCACCCTTGACCTGCCTCTGTAGACACCCTAATAAGCTCCATGAGCATAGGGATCGCTGAGAGGCTGGGTCCTGCCACGGGCTAATAATTACTGAGCAGCCCTGACCTGGCGTCAGGGCTCCCGGCTTCATTCTCTTTCAGATCCGTCTGTAAATCCACCCTGTGCAGCCAGACGCTGGCACTGGCGATGGCCCACAGTGGGATGTGAGTTGATAGTGTTAAGTGTCTTTTCTAGAACAACTGCTCCCTGAAGCAAGCAGGAAGGGAATTGCTAGATTCCTGAGATAGAAGGCACAGAAGACATGTTAGATACTCTCTTACCACGAAGGAGGCTAAGAATGAGTGGGAGTCAGCTTCGCAACCACCCTAGACACCGTCAAGTTCACAGTCAACAAGGTCAACTTCAGTGCTTGGCTTTCCCAGCACACGTAAGGGATCTCAGTGGAAATGGAGGCACTGTATCATTTGAACATAAGAGGCACGAATGCTTGGGGTATTGGTGAGAAAAATGACAGGGAAAAGTCTCCCAGTTTGGTGGCGGGGAGGGCTAGGAATTCCTGTGGGGTCATGGGGCAGGCCCCGCCCCGGAGTTGAGGCTCCACCCTCACGGTTGCTGGTTGCCTTTCAGGTTCCACCCTGCAGTCGCTCATCTGCTCCAACGATGCACTCTTCTACTTTGTCTTCTTCTACCCTTTCCCCATCTTTGGCATCCTCATCATCACCATTCTGCTGGTGCGTTTCAAAAGCCGGAACTCCAGCAAGAACTCAGAGGGGAAGAATGGGGTGCCCCTGTTGTGGATCAAGGAGCCGCATCTCAACTACTCTCCGACTTGCCTGGAGCCCCCTGTGCTCAGCATCCATCCTGGAGCCATAGACTAAGGAGGGTGGCCCCCAGCAGACGGTGCCCATGGCAGGGCCGGGTCCGAGGAGCACCCGAACTCTGCAGTTTCTCTGCAGGAACCAGTCAGACCTGGAATGTATTGGAAGATCCAGTCATAGAGATGACTGCCTCCAGGCAGCAGTCCTGGTTAGCTGTTCGCACCCAGGTGTTGCGATCCCAACATCCTAGGTTTCTAGTTTTTGGTTTTGGTAATGTAGTGCGTAGCTCCAGGTGCCGCATCTACTCGCCAGTCTGTGTAGTGTTTTCAGATCGGTGCTACGGGGTTTCCTGTTCTGTGTAATGTACTCTTTAAAGCCCCTTTGGTCCTCTCCGTGTGGATCTCATAATGTTGTGGAAGGGTTTCTCTCACAACTGAAAAGCAAGAGGAAGACGGCTTTATAGTAACAAGAAATCTCTTCCAAGACATTTTTGTTTTTGCACATTTGAAAATGCCACCCGTGGATCAAAATACACCCAAACATTTTTTTTTTACTTTCTTAGCAAGACTTGAAAAAATATGTGTAGCGTGGGCCCAATTTGTATCTTATCTTTTCCCTCAGCTGGAGTTGTTGGAGCCACTTTCTAGTCAAGATGAAAGCATTGAATTTTGCTTCAAAGAACTGCACATGCGCAGAAGAAACCCTGCGGAATCCGGTTAGGATTAGATGATGTCCAGTCAGCCAATCTGCCAGGGAGGTGAAAGGGGATCCTGTCCTTGCCCAAAGGAAAAAAAAGTAAAGAAAAAAGCAAGGCAACCTGGAGCATGGGTGGAGGGCTCCAGAAGGCGCCCAGTGTCTGAGGTTTACGATTGTGATTGTTGTGGCCAAAGCCAGTGATTGGGGGTGGGGGGAAGAAGCTGCCTGTTGGCTTGACTGACACCCTGAGCAGGTAGCTTCCTCTGCAGGTGCTTTGCCAAATCTTAAAGGGGACGTGTCCAGTGAGCCTGGAAGGGGCTTCCCTGAGTGGAAGAACGCCCACTGTGCATGGCCCGTGGAGGGTGCTGAGCTATCATACTGAATGTGGCCAGGGGGAGGGGATGTCTCTAGAGCCTGATGTTGGAGTGGCTGGAGGAATTCTTATCTCTCTGTCTTCCTTCCAGGAGGCGATGAAGTCTTCCTTGTCAATCACTGTTCTCTCCCCAAATATCACTGCTATGGAGCACAGGTGTTGAGTCAGGGGTTGTCCCTTTCCTTTGTTAGAGAGAGAGAGAGAGAGAGACAGACAGACAGACAGACAGACAGAGACAGAGACAGACAGTTAGGTTGTGTGGGTGGCTTTTAATTTTCAGCCCACAATTCCAAAATCCACTGCTTCCGCTCGGTCATACGCTTAGCCGCCCTAGAGCCTCGTCAATTGCAAATCCTCCCTTTGCCTTTTGCTCACTCTGAAGATCTTGTGAAGCCTGCCCCCTGTCCCCCATCCTCAGAGGCCATACCTTCCCCTGGGAATTTGCAACCTGAATTCCAAGATAGAACCCCTTGGGAAAAGGCACCCAAGATTGTGGAAGTAAACTTAACAAGAACAGACAGACAACACTGGAACTTCAGGACGCTGGGCCATGTGGTTACAGGTCCTTTTCAGGGGGTCTGCTGGGTGTAGGCCGAGTTCGGGGAGGGGGAAGACAAACTTTCCTCTCCCCTTCTGGTCCTCTCGGAGAAGTTTCTAGGCACCACCACCTTAATCCCTTGGTTGCCTACCCTGCTATTCTCATTTATGCTGCACCAACACATCAGAGGGACCAGATTGCTCAGTCACCAAGAAAGAATGTCTTTTGTTCTGTCCCTTCCTTTCATGGGTGTGGGCTCTTGGTGGGACTCTTGGTGGGTAATTGCTGACTCCTGGTTTTTAGGCTGAGTCAACAAGGGAGGATTGACTCTGAATGGAAAGACGTCAGATCAGTTCTGCTGCAGCAGGACATTTGCAAGGACTAAAGAAACCCAAGTCAGTATTTTAACAACTGCTTTTTGCCTGTATGTTCTGCAGGGCTGGGGAAAGCAATTAAAGGTTGAACTCTGGGCCTTCTGTGGAAAAAAAAAAAAAAAAAAAAACACAACCAACCCGGGGGCCTCTGTGGCCGGTTCTGTGGACAGGTGTTGTCAGATGAATGGTGATGGTGCCCTCCAGTGGCTTGAAGACCTCACTGCACATTGTCTGCCGGGGCTCTGGTCTTCTGAGTTCAGAGAGAAAAGGACTCAACAGAGACTCCTGACACCTGTCCGCTCCACTGTGCTAGGCATGTCCCAGGACACTATACGACCACACCCTCTCTCACCGGGGTGTTTCTGTAGCAAGTTTTCATATTCGTTTTAAACAATGGTTTCTCTGCATTCATTGTTGGAGAGAGAGACTGTCCGTGCATGAAGTAGAGAGCTGTTGGGTTTTTTTGTTTTCTTTTTTAAGGAGAAACTATTTGTAAGCCGCTGCACTAAGACATTTTATATACACTGCAGAGACTGTAGTAAACTATGTTGACAGTACGCTGTTTACATTTCCTGGAGTCTGACACCCTCTCGCCCCTCACCTCCAGCCCTGGGACTGCACAGTGGGTGGCCTGGAGCTCTGCCCTTGGCACTGATGTCCCAGACTCAAGTTTTACAGCTGTACCTTTTCTATGCATGCCCTCGCCCAGTCTAAATTATGTTTTTGTACAAATGATAAAAAAAACTTTCTCAAGACACTTTGGCCACATGCTGGAATGTGTTACAACTCTATACCTACTCCACTCACGCTGCCCCAGGAGCTGTGACACGGAGCAGCCTGGGGCCCTGGCAGGCAGACCGAGAAGCTAACATTGTTACGGGTCATGTGACTGGTTTTTCTTTGGTGGGAAACTTATGGTCAAAAGACACTGATGAAAAGAGCCTGCCGGCTCACTGGGGCCTCTGCAGCCGACCCCACTGTCCCTTCTCAAGCCCCATTAGTGTCCGTGAATGGAAGTGGTCAGCAGGCATTTCCCCGGGGAGACACAAGGCTGGGAGCTGGACAGTCCCAGGCAGCGGGACTGAACACCAGTCCTGCTGCGAGTGGCCAACAGAGATGCCAGCGAGAAACACTGGGATAATGTAGGCTCCGGCAGTGATCACAGTTTGTTGGGTCTTTACAGTCCATAGGAGATGCAGCAGAAGAGGGCACAGGAGGCTGAAAGCAGCCCCTCCCCCCTCCCCGCCATCGCCCATTCTCAGTCGCCTTCCCAAGGCTCAGCCATGTGCTTTCCTCTGCTCCTAGACCCGTTTGCTGTGTTCTTATCGCCTTTGCGCAGCTGCTAGCTTGGCTGCAGTTAAAACTGCGACTGCTTATCCCTTAGGTGCCCACAATGGTCCCATGCTGAGTCTTCCATACTATTTTTGCTTATGAGGTGAAAATGTGACTTTATTTCTTAGGTAGCCACAAATGGTTTTTGCATGATTTTCCCCCCCAAATGCCCTCTTTCTACCAGGAACTAAATTTTAAAAAGGGGAGTATCATGGAGTAAGATTACCCCTATTTAAGCCCTGGGGTTGAATGAACATGTGTGCCACCCCCTGAGGCAAATGATAAAAATGACCACCTGTGTGTTTGGGCTTAGGGGCTGTGTCTTGTCACTATGTCCCAGTTTCCTACACTGTAATTCCAAGTGTTTGGCATGAAGCCCAGAGCAACAGAGAGTGGCATGCCCCAAAGCGTGGTCCAAGCCTCTTGGGCCATTTTTCTTACCTTCTCATCCACAGTTTCCCACTGTGACAAGAAGGAAAACTGGACCACATAACGCCAGTCACAGGATGAACACACATCAAGCAATTCCTTTAGAAAGAGAAATAGGGACATTTTTCAGCGTGTGAAGGGAGCTTGTTGGCTCTGCCGAATGCATTATGGGCATGCTAAGCCACGTGTGATTCCTGAAGTCGGCTAGGCAGGCCTGTCGGCACATTTAGAAATTCTTGATGGAAACAGCCTTTCTATCAATGAAAGGGCTGGCACTGGCCACTGGTCAGAGTGAAATCAAGGAAGGTCTAGCAAGTCCACCCTCACCCAGTAAGTGGAGACCATGACCCAAGGCACTTCCCCAGCCCCAGGTGATGGGGCTGTCTTTTCTGAAGCTTGCCTCTGCCTATACTGACAGCCATTGAAACTCAGTCCCAAAGCCCCATTCATTTCAGACCATTCATGTGTGGGCAGGGCAAAGGGGAGGCTTTGGACTAGGCCCCTCACTGTGTCTTAGGCAAGCCATTTATCTTTTCCAAGCCAGTTTTCTTGAAGTAAAGATAGGACAGCAATCCTGTGAATACCAGCCAGGAGATATGCTTACGCGCGCGCGTGCACACACACACACACACACACACACACACACTCGTTCCTCCCCAGCTCCAAGACAGAGTTCCAACAGCCGCCTGGTACATGAAGTCTAACCTCTCCTGCCTTCCCAGGTGGGACATTCTGACTGTCAAGGGTCGGGGAGAGAATTTATTTCCTCACTTTCTGGGCCACACCTTGCACCTGCCTGGTTCCCAGGATCTACAGGTGATACATAGTAGGTTTCCTGGGGCGGGGCTTTAGTCCCAGAAGTTCACTGACAGAAAGACCTTTAAGATTTTAGGGCTAGTTTCAGACATGGTTCCCTGAATCCATGTGTGTCTGGGCCCCCACCCGAGGGTAAAAGAGATGATAGCAAGAAGCACGTGTCATGTTCACAATTGGCGACAGGCTTTGGTGTCTATTTGGACAGCAGAGAGTCCTACTTACAGGACAAGTGTTCCTTCACTCCTTCAGCTACACAGGATCAAACTTGCTGCTTCTCTTTGCAAGAACAGGACAGCCAGGAAGGAGGATCTGAAGCCAGGTCTGAGAATAGTAATTTGGCCTGGGATCTGGTGGGTTGGAAGAGTTCGAGCCTGTGAAAGGTAAATTAACAGACTGTCTCGGGCTGGGGTGCACGGGTGTTAGGGAGCCGTTCCCAAGGGAGAGAATGGATGTGACAGCCCGAGCACAGTTGAACATAGAGGAGCTTGAGATACAGCTCTGTCGACAATGTGTTTCTACCCTGGGTTCCATTGTAACCCCAGCACTTGGGAGATGGAGACAGGAGGATCAGGAATTCAAGGATACCCTTCATGGCATGTCAAGTTCTAGGCTAGTGTGGGCTACAAAGGACCTGGTCTGTAAAGAACAAGGGGCTACAGAGATAGTTCTGAGGTTAAGAGTGCTTGCTGTTCTTACAGAGGACCAAGTTCAGTTCCTTACACCTACAGGGTGGCTCACAAGGACTTATGATTCCAGTCCAGGGGATCTGGCACTCTGTTCTGGCCTCCTAGAGCTACTGCATGCACACAGTGCTCATGAACTCAGCAACACCCCCCCCCACACACACACACAGATGTGGAAATAAATAGAAAAATCTGCACCCAACAACAAGGCAATGGAAGAGAAAAGCCAAGACTCCTGGTGGTCCTTGGGAGATTAAGGAAAAGAAGTGCCTGTGAGAGGCACCCTAAGGACCTCCCCACACACACACACATTATAGCAGTTGTCTCAAAGGGCCCCATCTGTCTAGTATTTGAGGAAAAAGTAGGCGAGAGATTGTCTTGCAGGCTGAGTAATGCACCTCTTTTGGCTTGTGTCACTTCAAGGGCACAGCTTTCTGGGAGTGACAGCCCCAACCTGACCTCCACCTCTAGTTGCCCTCATCAGGTCTGTGTGATGTAGGAGGCCTCACAGAACAGTAGAAGTGATGGGCTGTGCACACACACTTTGCCTACTGTTTAAAACTTAAACTCACATCAGGACCTCCAGAGATGGACTTGGGAGTCACTGGACCCTTGCATCTGTTCCTCTTCCCAACACAACCACATTGAGTCAGTCTCCCTTTGCTTTTCATCAAACATCCTTCCTTCCTTCCCTTCTTTCCTTTCCTTCCCTCCCTTCCTCCGCTTTCCCTCCCTCCCTCTCCTCCTTCTTCATTGGCATATTGGGATGAGTTTCTGAACTCCTGTTTTTTGAAATATCTAGAACCCAGGCTTGTACCCTAAAAGCTCCTGAAATTGTGTCTCCTTGAATTCATGAATCCATCCAGAGGTCAAGTTCAGTCAGCAAACCTGTGTATAGGATCTGTTCTGCATAGCTGTAAATGAAGAGTGTTTGCAGCTGAGTGTTGTGGCCCCATTAGAAGCAAGCCCTCTGGAAGCCTAACTTGCATCCCTAGAACCCTGAAAAACATAGTAGTGAACAGTCCTAACTGTAGTTAGACCCAGTTGTGGATCTTGGCTCCTCTACACCTCAGTCATGAATTTGAATAAGATACCTAACTTCTGTAACTTCTGTGTCCTTCAGTATCTTCACCTTTGAAGAACATAATACTTACATGAAAGGGGGTGGAATAGTAATACTTCACAAACATGAATGGCAATCATATAATGTAGTAATTGTCCTCAGTGTTTAAGCTTCTCAACTCAGATGAACTTGGAGTCACCCGGGGGACACACCTATGGGTGAGTCTATCAGTGCATTTCCTGAGAGATTTAACAGGGAAGATCCATCTTGAGTCCTATGGGTTGTGTGGTCTCAGACTGAATAAAGAAGAAAAAAGGAAGCCAGCTGAGTACACATATGTATTTCCCTCCCTCCTCATTGTGGACTCAAGGGCACCAACATGTGCCTGCAGCCACAGCTACAGCATGTCTTACTGGGCACTGGACTGTATCTCACAAGGATCTACTCATTGGCCCTCAAGTCCCATGCCTGGCTTTTTTTCACATGTGTTTTGGGAACTCTTAAAGATGGACAGTCCGGCCACGCAGTGGTGGCACACACCTTTAATCCCAGCACTCGGGAGGCAGAGGCAGGCAGATCTTTGTGAGTTTGAGACCAGCCTGGTCTAGAGAGTGAATTCCAGGACAGGCTCCAAAGCTAGAGAGAGACCCTGTCTGGGAAAGAAAAAAAAAAAGATGGACAGTGTGTGAAATGGAAAGTTCTGGATGGTTTTGAATGGAGTGAATTTATAGTATGGAAAACAGCCTTTGATAACTGCTTTCAGCTTTGAACAAGCGAGCCTATTAAGTACTTAGAAGCAAATGTATGACATGATCATAAGTAGCAGCAGAAACAGTGGAAAGGTAGCAAGACATCACCAAAACCATTCACAACACTAGCATAGCCTGACGCAACATCATCAGTCAGGGCTTACCGACATCCAGCAGAAATCCACTGGGGAAGCTGAGGTAGTCATTTGGAGATACTGGTGTAGATTTCTTTCCTTGGATGGACTTGCAGCTTCCTGTTCCCACAGCAGGCATTTTTATATCATAGAATAAAGCAATAGTAACCTCTGTTGGTAAAGGGTTCCTTTGTAGCTGTTCTCAAGGACACAATGTTTTTAATACCCTTAGCTGCTTGCTGCTTTTCCCTCTCCCATTAGGCAGCCAGGGGCTAGCCTGACCTGGGTGGGGCTGTGGTGGTTTTTATGTTTGGAAGAGACAAAGGATCCCCCTCCTGCCCTAACCCCCCAGGGTCTTTTTATCAACAGGCTTAAGGAGCACATGTTGATTTATCAGTGTAATATGTAAGATGAAGTGTGTGTGTTTTAATAATTCTGTCACCAAGTGGAGAATGTCTGTAGAGAGGAGCAGGGGCTCCAGAAAGCACACAGGGACAAAATGAGTGGAAGCTTGAACAGGCAGTGGAGGACACGAGAAATGTCTGGCTT